TTTTCTAAATTTTTTCCAAATTTGTTTTCTAGTGTAGCTCAGCATCCGCTGGACCAATCAAAAAGTGCGCCATACATTATTTGTTCGCTACTTTTTGCTAAAGACTTTGGCGGTATTCCCGAACGATTATCTCGCAAATTTAATTTTTCGAAAATATTTCCAAAATCTTTTTGAGTGTAGCTCAGCATCCGCTGGACCAATCAAAAAGTGCGCCATACATTTTTTGTTCGAAACTTTTTCCCTATTTTATTGGCGGTATTCCGGAACGATTATCTCGCAAATTTAATTTTTCTAAATTTTTTCCAAATTTGTTTTCTAGTGTAGCTCAGCATCCGCTGGACCAATCAAAAAGTGCGCCATACATTATTTGTTCGCTACTTTTTGCTAAAGACTTTGGCGGTATTCCCGAACGATTATCTCGCAAATTTAATTTTTCGAAAATTTTTCCAAAACTTTTTGAGTGTAGCTCAGCATCCGCTGGACCAATCAAAAAGTGCGCCATACATTTTTTGTTCGAAACTTTTTCCCTATTTTATTGGCGGTATTCCGGAACGATTATCTCGCAAATTTAATTTTTCTAAATTTTTTCCAAATTTGTTTTCTAGTGCAGCTCAGCATCCGCTGGACCAATCAGAAATTGCGCCATACATTTTTTGTTCGCTACTTTTTGCTAAAGACTTTGGCGGTATTCCCGAACGATTATCTCGCAAATTTAATTTTTCTAAATTTTTTCCAAATTTGTTTTCTAGTGCAGCTCAGCATCCGCTGGACCAATCAAAAAGTGCGCCATACATTATTTGTTCGCTACTTTTTGCTAAAGACTTTGGCGGTATTCCCGAACGATTATCTCGCAAATTTAATTTTTCTAAATTTTTTCCAAATTTGTTTTCTAGTGTAGCTCAGCATCCGCTGGACCAATCAAAAAGTGCGCCATACATTTTTTGTTCGAAACTTTTTCCCTATTTTATTGGCGGTATTCCGGAACGATTATCTCGCAAATTTAATTTTTCTAAATTTTTTCCAAATTTGTTTTCTAGTGCAGCTCAGCATCCGCTGGACCAATCAAAAAGTGCGCCATACATTATTTGTTCGCTACTTTTTGCTAAAGACTTTGGCGGTATTCCCGAACGATTATCTTGCAAATTTAATTTTTCGAAAATTTTTCCAAAATCTTTTTGAGTGTAGCTCAGCATCCGCTGGACCAATCAAAAAGTGCGCCATACATTTTTTGTTCGAAACTTTTTCCCTATTTTATTGGCGGTATTCCGGAACGATTATCTCGCAAATTTAATTTTTCTAAATTTTTTCCAAATTTGTTTTCTAGTGTAGCTCAGCATCCGCTGGACCAATCAAAAAGTGCGCCATACATTATTTGTTCGCTACTTTTTGCTAAAGACTTTGGCGGTATTCCCGAACGATTATCTCGCAAATTTAATTTTTCGAAAATTTTTCCAAAATCTTTTTGAGTGTAGCTCAGCATCCGCTGGACCAATCAAAAAGTGCGCCATACATTTTTTGTTCGAAACTTTTTCCCTATTTTATTGGCGGTATTCCGGAACGATTATCTCGCAAATTTAATTTTCCTAATTTTTTCCAAATTTGTTTTCTAGTGCAGCTCAGCATCCGCTGGACCAATCAAAAAGTGCGCCATACATTATTTGTTCGCTACTTTTTGCTAAAGACTTTGGCGGTATTCCCGAACGATTATCTCGCAAATTTAATTTTCCTAATTTTTTCCAAATTTGTTTTCTAGTGCAGCTCAGCATCCGCTGAACCAATCAAAAAGTGCGCCATACATTATTTGTTCGCTACTTTTTGCTAAAGACTTTGGCGGTATTCCCGAACGATTATCTCGCAAATTTAATTTTCCTAATTTTTTCCAAATTTGTTTTCTAGTGCAGCTCAGCATCCGCTGGACCAATCAAAAAGTGCGCCATTCATTTTTTGTTCAGAACTTTCTTCTAACTACTTTGGTGGTATTCCCGACCGATTATCTCTCAAATTTAGTTTTTTTTAAATTTTTATAAATCTGATGTTTTTTTTATCTTAGCTGAAAATCTGTTTGTTTATTAAGAAAAGTTGGCTATACATTTTTAGGTCTTATCTCAATAGTTAAAGTTATGTTAAATTGTCAGAGTCATTTCTGTTAAAATCCAATTATTTTTTCAAATATTCCTTTATTTATTTGTACCAAAAACCAGAAATCTATTATTATGGAGAATAATAATTTGTTGAAGTAAATCTGATATTAAATTGCATATATACATATTTAGAATAAACTCCCATGAAGTTGCTTGGTATTATCAAAATACATTTATATATATAGTCAATTCCCTTTTCTCTTTCATTTGCGACCTCCCTCATTGGTTCCATATATTCATATATATATATATTTTGATCCGCGTATAGTGTATTTCTAGTTTCACCATATTTGATATTTCGCCTGCGGCAAATTGCCACTAAATTGAGTGAGCTACAGGTATACAGGTTTCTACATTTATCGAGTCACTAACTCGATGAACCTCTCAGACTCGTGTAATAAACTTAATTAAGAAGGAGACTAATGTGAATAATTAAACGTCAACTCGCGATATACTATAAATTTGTTTATACGCATATAGAAAAAATTACTTTTTTTCTAAAAAATGTTTTTTTGGTCTCTTTAATAAAAAATAGAAAAAAGATTTGTATACTTCAAAAACATTTCGATATGAAACGAGCCCGCTTGGTTAGATCTTCGTTGCGTCGTTGCATTGAACATATACACAATCAACAAAAATAAATTGCAAAAACTGCGGTTTTTCATTTAAAAACCCCCAATGTGAATGAAATGGTTTTTTTTTTTTTTATTTCTAGCGCACACTTCCGAAGGAAGTAATAACTACGCTATTATTGATTGTTTTTCTCCCTTTCTTTTTGTTTCCGGAAAAAGGGAAACGAAATTTGTTGACCAGTGAAATTGTTGATGCAAATATTATCGACAGGCGACAAAACAACAACGAGAGAATGAGTGTTACACCACATCACACGTTACCACCATCATCAACATCATTCACCATGAAAAGTACATTCCACCCGATATTGCGTGGTTAGAGCAATAAAAGGGTCTTGTCTCATCTACAATATTTTTTGTTTTATCGGCGAAAAAAAAAAAATTTACCTGTAACAACGAAACATTTCACTATAGTAGCTAAAATTTTATTTATTTCAGTTATAAATATTTAACTATAGTGAAACACATTTTCTTGTTTGAAGTAAATTTTTTTTCCACTATAAAATCGATGTCAATTTTAATTTGAAAAAAAAAATTTCACCTAATAAAGTTGTTTCCGAGAGTGGATTACACACAGAGTCAAGTTTAGAGGGTATGTGTGCTTTGAATGCCGGATATAGAAGGATCGAGGGGGGATGGGGTTTGGTTCGTAAGAGAGAGAGAGAGAGGGGTGGGGGGATGAATAAGGAGGACGCAGAGAAGTCAAAAGTTCCAACGCCCTTTTGCCCCCCTTCCGCCTCGCTTTTATCCCCCATGGGATGGCAATTGAGCGTTGATTTATCTGAAAACTTTTTATAATAGTTGGAACAAAATATAGATATTCAACGTGTATAGAGATGAGGCGCTAAATTGCTCGCGCGTTTCAACTTCCTCTACTCCTCTCTCAAAAAAAGATATTCCCCGCGAATTCTGATGATGGCGTGCGCGCCCGTAACTTGTCGTATATCCCCGCGACTCGCAATTTCTTCTCTCTCAAGTCCAATTTCATTTCAAGAAACTAGGAAAAGACAATTGAACTTCTCTTTCTCTCTTCTTTTTTTTTCCCCCTACGTCACGTTAAGAGGCTGAACTATAAGTCGTTAAAGAAACGAATTTTTTTTTGTTATGTAAAAACTTAAAAAAAAATCGTTTAAATGACATCATATAAAAGTTTATATTAAACACGCTATTAATTTTTTGAGAAGTTTTAAAAGAATGAAAATTTAAGTTTATATGTTTCGAATCAGTTTTAGAGTGTAGAAACAGGTGTATATATATATGTGTGTGTGTGTTTGTATTCTATTTGTGTGCGATATATCAGGTTATGGGAACAATGTCATCAAGAGGTCGTAACAGTAGCAAAACGTTGCGACGAGTTGCAGCTGTTGTTCGAGCACCGTCTGTATTTTATGAACGACATGGATTCCTGACCAATGCAGTAATGTCGATTTGCTATGTTGACTCAATCATCTCATTCTCTCCAGATCAACACATTTACCATACTGACCTGTATATTCCCTCTCATGTATACAACAGATTTTCCCAAAAATTTTGTTTCAATATTCTTAATTCTTCAAAAAAAAAAAAAAAGTTGTGGTTTTAAAAAAAGGTTTTCTTTTTAGATAAAACAATGATATTAACTTATAAACTCATAAATTCTAAATTTCAATACGATTCAGTGACAAAATTTTAATTTTTTGAATGAGGCAATTACCTTAACTCTTAAACTAATATCATCTAAAAATTGATTCTGATATGATATAACTCATAAAATATTAAAAGTGATTTTAATTTTACTATGATAACTCATAAAATATTAAAGTGATTTTGATTCTAATATGATAACTCATAACTCTTAAAATCTTAAAAGTGCTTTTGATTATAATATAATAACTCTTAAACTCTTAAAATTGATTTTGATTCTAATATGGTAACTCATAAAAGATGAAAAGGGATTTTGATTGTGATATGATAAGTCATAAAATATAAAAAGAGTTTTCGGTTCTGCTATGATAACTCATAACTCATAAAATCTAAAAAGTGATTTTAATTTTTGAATAATTTTTTTTTTTACCTAAAAGCATAAGGTTAACTCATAAACTTTGAAAAGAGATACTGATTTCGATTTAAATTAGTGAGAAATTGTGTTAGTTAAAATTTAATTTAACTAATTTTTGTTTTTTTTTTTAATAAAACAATAACGTTAACTTAAAACAATTTATTTTTGTTATCAATTAGAAAATAGTAATTTATTTATTTATTTATTTATTTACGGGACTTCAAAAGTAAAGTGCCCTTTAAATACAAATTGTATAATACATATGTATAGCGCTGCTATTTATAAAATAAAGAAACTAATTACTAAATAATAGATTACGCAGTGCTGTATTAAATGCTTCTAACTTAATATTAAAAAAGTCAATGTCATTAGCAACCGTATTAGCCTTTATAGATAATCTGTTAATGACAGAATTAATTCTGTAATTTGTACGATGATATGGTATTTGAAACAGTACATAATGTCTGGAATGACGTTTTGGAATAGAAAATTTAATTAGTGATAGTAAGGGGGGACAATCAATGTATCCATTTAAAATTTTAAAAAAGAAAAGTAAATCAAAATAGTCAAATCTAGATGTAAGTCTGGGTATGCTCGCCAATAATAATATTGTAATAGTAATATTAAAAAGAAAATTTACAATTTTTTTTACATTTTGAAAATTAAAACTATTCTTACTACGAACATATTTCAATTTTATGTTGCAATTGTTGATAACGTTTCTTATATAAATTATCACATTCAGGATATCCAGATTGAACATATTTCTGAATATTACTTTTCACATGGTTTTCATAATTTTCTATTACTTTTAAATATTCTTCTTCATATTTATCTATATCTGCCTTTAGCTGAAAAAAAAAAAAATAAATTTTTTTAAAAATAAAATAAAATTATTAAATTATATCATTTTAAATAAAAAAATATTTTATTAGTATGTATTAATGTTTAAAAAAAATTTTTAAATGTTTTTTAGTAAAAGAAATTGATAATTAATTTGAGATTTAATTTTAAAAAAAAAAATATATATATATATATATAATCAAGAAACGAAAAAAATACAAACCTTTGTGAGACAACTATTAGATGCTTTTGAATATTTTTTTTCATCTAATGATAGACATTCTGTTAATTGTTGATTGGTATTAATTATTTTCTCCAAAAATGGATAACTATCGTACATCATATCAGCAATTGTTTCAATTATATCGTATTTAAATTGTAAACAATGGCCATATTTTTCATAGGCATCAATTTTTTGTTTTTTATAAATAATTTTTGTCTTCTCACAATAAATATTAATTTTTTTAAATATTTTTCCATTTTGAAACTGTTAAACAAAAAAATTGGTGAAAAAATTATACAATTTTTATTTCATACATATGTATATATATACATATATATATACATATATATATATATATATATATATATATATATATATATGAATATGAAAAAAAAGAAATGATAATTTATTATTAATTACGACGAAACATTAATGAAGATACAAAAAAATAAATTAATTGAATTACCTTTTCTAAATCATTTGAAAGAATTTCTTCCTCTTTTCTTAGTCTTGACATTCTTTCTTCGTTATGGAGTTTCTTTTCATTGTTAATATTTATTTTAACCTTCATGTCTGATTTATAAGTTGTAGTTAAAATTTTATTCAATTTTGTCCTTAAATCGGATTTTAAATCATTTTTGTTTACATTTTCAATTTTAAAGCAGGAAGTCTAAAAATTGTAATTTTCAATAATTAACAGAGATTGTTAAAAAAAATTTTTTTTCAAAAATAAATTTATTTATTTAATACTTACACTTATGAAAAAAGTAGTACACAATAGCAAAATAATTTTTGCCATGATTTAGACTTATTTTTTTTTTCTTATAACACGCACGTACAAATGTTAATATACTTATGTTGTTTAAAAAAATTTAGTATCTACTTTTATATCCAATTCTTATCAATCATTTAAATGAAAATTAAATATTAATTATAGTAAACAACACTGTTTCCTTGTATCAAGATTAGTTTTTATAATAGTTTTCATAACTGGGGAAATTTTGTTTAATCAAATGTCATTTTAAAGTAATATTTACTTAATTTGTTTTACACATGTATATATTGTCGCCTAGTACGTGATAAGAGTCACGAATTATCTTGACGCTCATTGACTTAGTATTAGAAAAATTGATATAAAGAATTATTTATTAACCATATAGAATTAAAAACAAAATTACGTTACAAATTACACGTGTTACTGCGATATTACGAAATAACATTTTTTTTAATTGCAAGCATATAGGTAGAAGTTGAGAAAAATTTATTGGAAACTTCATTTTAACAATAGTCAATAATATAGAAATTTGCCATACCGACGGTCGATAATGTAGAACTTTACCATGACGACGGTCGATAATGTAGAAATTTACAATGCCGATGGTCGGTTATGTAGAATTTTACTATACGAACGGCTGGTAATACAGAACTTTACCTTACTAGCAATAGATAATGTAGAACTTCACCTTACCAACGGTCGATAATACAGAATTTTTTTTTCATATTTTTATTGAAAAAAAAAATTTGTTTAATTTTTCAACAAAATTTTTCAAGGAAATTTAATATTTTCAGCTTTAACGCGTTTTAGGTGTTTATATTTATATCTTGCCGCTCGTAAAAGAGAGAAATATTCTTTAGTATATAATTTCTTTTTTATACAATATGGACTATAATAGAGTAAAGTAATATTAGCGTTGTTTTATAAACTCAATGTGAAATGTAAGAAGGGAGGGAAGACAATGGATATAAATGCGAATTAAAATCAATTAGATGACTAGATCCGTTATTGCCCTTCATTTTAGTTGCGATCAAGACCATTAAAATGCATCCCAGACAGTTTTAACGAGCACTTTTAATGTAAATCGCTTCTCTGGATGTTTTACAGGGAAGAGGAGATGAGGGGTAAAGTGGGTAGGGGAGGGGGGGTGAAGGTTAGGTTAGTCTTGCCTCGAGAATTACATTGGTTTACACGTTACAAAATGAGCTATATAACTTTGTGAGGCGACGTCTTTTTAGATTGCTCTTCGCAATTTCCTGTTCCTTTTCTAACGTTGCTTGCTGATGCTTCTCTCTCTATTTTTTTTCTCTCTTAAGAGGAAGAGAGAGAGAGAGAGAGAGAGAGAGTTGACGACGTTCCTCTTTATCGATACTTTTACAAATTTTCTCCATTCGTTGATTGCATTCTTACAAGTCTTGTTATTCTTATCATTCTCTTCATTTTGCGCCCGTTATATAATAAACTCAATGCCAAAAGAGTTTTCCAGCTTTCCTCTTTTCAATATATATATATATATATATATATATCTAAAGGTTTCAACCTTCGAATCGTTTTATGCTTCCGGTAAAGGAAGTCGTCATTCTTCTCATCTTTTTTTTTATTTATATTTCAATGATACAAGAGATTTCTGTTTTCTTTTTGTGACATATGGAATTTAAATTATTTTCTTTTTTATCGCTTTGTAGAAATTTTTCTTTTCAATTTGTCGCCTCTCGTTACAATTTTAGCCGAAAATTAATTATTAGAGAAATGAAAGTGGACAAAATTCTGGATAATTTGAAAAAAAATTGAATACTCTACCTCAAAAACTGATGGGAGATATCGCTTTTCCAAAAAATACGTTTTTTTTTTTTTTTTTTTGGTTTAACTCTACTATTAATTATTTTATACCTAAAAATAGTCAGTTTTAAGCACTTTTTTCGAAAAATAATTAACAGTAGTTGTTAAATCCAAAAAATAGCGGATTTTTTTAACCCCAATAAAATCGGGTTTTTGGAAAAGCGAAATCTCCGACAGTTTTTGAGCTAGAGTACTCAATTTTTTTTCAAATTACTCAGAATTTTGACCACTTCCTTTTTTTTCTCTACTTTTACTCTAAAAAATAAATAAAGGCGACAATTGGCAAAAAAAACAATTTTTTTGCCCAATTTTCATAATTCAAAAAAATACCACAGTTAGATTATACATTATTTCTTCGCCAAAATGAAGGGGTTTTTAAAAAAAAATATATATATATACATATGTATGTGGTACGAGTATATCCAGCGAAATGGACTCGGCTATTATGCCAAAACTAAAATCGGGCATTCAGCCATCTCACTGTGCCGCTTATTAGTATGCAAGTGAGAATGTTGCCTTAGGTGGCTTGAAAGCCCAGCGTGTCACATTCACGACGTGTTTCCTCGAGACGAGCAACACACTGCAAGGGAATAGGTTACAGTTTCTCTTCAATACGTGCCTTCGCACTCTAAGAAACATTAAAGCCACCCTGGATCACATCTTTTTTTCGGTGGGGGGGGATTCTTTCTTACTTTTTTTTTAATTGTACATTTCATTTAAATTCAGTCTCATTTCATTCATAATCTCTTTATATAGATGAAAAAACTTCATAAAGAAACAAATATTTCTGTATTTTACAATTAAAAATTAAAATAACTTTTAAAAATAGTCAGAAATGTAAAACTACTTTACCCACAGTCGATAATATAGAAAATTACAGTGCCAACTGATGATAAAAACCATACTTCGAAATTTGACACTTACAGTCGATAATGTAGAAATTTATCTTACCAACAATCGGTAATGTGGAACTTGACTTTACCCGCGGTCGATAAAGTAGATAATTACCATACCAACGGTCGGTAATGTAAATATTTAACTTACCAATAGTCGATAATGTAGGAAATAACAGTGCCAACTGGTGACGAAAACCATACTTCCACCTTTAGTCGATAATGTACAAATTTATCTTACCAATGATCGGTAATGTAGAACTTTGATTTACCGATAGTCGCTAAAGTAGAACTTTACACTGTTAACCAATAATAAAAATCATACTTCAAAACGCACTTCTTTAGTCGATAATATAGAAATTTATCTTACCAATAATCGGTAATGTAGAACTTTACCTTAACAACGGTCGGTAATACTATAAATTGTATTTTTATTAACGTTATGTTGCCTACTATGTTTCTTCTTTTTCAAAAAAATATAGAAATTAAAATTATGCAAAATTTTAACCATGGAAGGTAGAAATAATGTTTTCCATCGAAATGCTTGTTTTCCTTTCCTTCTATTTTTTTAGTTTTTTTTTTAGTTAGTTCTTAATCCTATTCTCGTGAAGTCATAGTCCGTGCAAACATAATCCTATTTTACTCTTTTGTGTGTATGTATTTACACACATCTAAGGGTAAATTTTCTCGCCTTATACACATACAAACAGCTTTATGTTAGCCGACCGTTTTTAAGGTTAATAAGATTTTTGTGTGTTGAAAAAATAACACGTGCGCGCCTTCCCTCTTACAAGCAATATTCATCTCAAAGGTATTCATAAAAAATATTATTATTAAATTCTTATATTCATAAAATAGTGATGAAAAATTGATTTTACATTCTATATTAAATAAAAACATATTGTTAGGAAATAATAATAATAATAATAATGATAATAATAATAATAAACTTTGAATGGGAATTATAAGTTTTTTTTTCCTTATTGACTACCTTTTTATAATGTAAAGCATTATTATGAGAATATTTTTTCTTATATGTTTTGAATTGAAAAAATTTTTTTTTCTTTAAATTGAAGAAAGAAATCTCATAAAATGTCTTTTATACTTTGTCAAATCTTAGTTTGTGTTTATATGATAGGAAAAAATTGCAATTTAGAAAAAATTTGCCAAGGCTAGAAAAAGAGGGGAATAATATTTTTATATTAAATTCGAAAATTTGAAATTATTTCACTTTTATGCCCGAAGCATTGGTGGCTTATACGAATGAGAACGGTTAGAGTAACAACGGTTATGGTAACATCGGTTAAAGTAACATAACGGTTAGAGTAACACAACGGTTACAGTAACACAATGGTTAGAGTAACAACGGTTTAAAATTAAAATTTATTTTCTAATTACAATCTATTTTCTTTTTCCATAATATTTTCATCAATGAAAAAAAAATGCATGTCTACTGTACATCAGATTTATATGCAAGAAATGTGTCTAGTTTGCTATCGTGAAATTATAAATTTTGTAACGTTTCAACCTCTATATATATAGCGATAACGCTATTCATTCTCCTGTCTTGTGAGCAATGGATAACCGAAAACATGCATTGTTCCTGGTAAAATGGCTCTTTCATAGAAATGAGAATTGAGTTTCAAACACACTAAAGAAATTTCCGGTTACAAACTCTCGTGAATAATAATAATAATAATAATATAATAATAATAATGATAATAATAATAATAACAATAATAATAAATAATTATAAAAGTATATAATTATTCAAACAATTTTTCTTCCATTGTAAATTTATGTATATGCACTTTATTTTATTATGAATACGAAAATATAATTCAAATGACAGAAATTATTTTATTTTCATTTTATAATATGCATTTACTCGGGAATGGATTTTTTTTATTATTAATATTAAATAAGCTTTTTATTAACCCATTAAATTCTATTCTTCAAATATTTTTTTTTATTGCTCTACATTGTGTGGAAAATAAAAAATGAAGCTTAAATGAAAAATGGGGTCATTAATTATTATTATTATTTCTTTTTTGAAATTTATATATAGTTCTGAAAGAGAAAAAGAAATTTCATTGACTACACTAATTTTTGTTAGCTAAAATAATGTATATTTTCATAAATTCTTATAAAATTCACACACCCACGTATATAGTGTAGACGATATAAAATTTATAGAAAAAAAAAATATATTTTTTTCAGTGATGCGTGAAAATTGAGTAGAATTGAAATTGTTGGGATTTACCTGTAGAACTTTATTTTATTTATTTTTTTTTTGCTTTATCATCTCTGGGATATTTCATTTTCTGCTGGAAGAAGTTCAAGTGCGCGTGGATTTATAAAGAAA